TGCAGTCAGAATAGGGATAGGAACAGGGGAGTGGTTTAGCACTAAGACCCAGGGGAGGCATTGCTTCCTCTTGGTCCTTAGGCTTTTTGCCAGTGGCCATTTTGTTTTCTTGATCAAGCCAGAACATAGCTTCCCTGTGGAACCAGGTAAGCAGGAGTTCTGGGGGCGAGGGCTGGGCCCAGTTGCTGAGTGTGTTGTAGGGTTGCCACGTGTCCAGTATTTTTGCCTCCTGGCAAGGGAAAAAACGAGAAAATACTGGATGTTTTAGGTATCCGGTATTTTCTGAATTTTTTTTACTGGACAGGAGGAGAAAATACCAGACTGTCTGGGTCAATAATGGAAACCTGGCACCCCTATCCTTAACTGGGACTCTCTGGTCCAGCAACATCTGAGGTCTGGCAGGACCATGGATGTTCCTGGACCACCCAGTCCAAGTACAAGGAGGTCTGGCCAGGGGAAGAAGCATAGTGAGAAGGTTGGCCCCATGTGGGAAGTGCAGCAGGGAGTTGTGGTTGCAGCTCTGCAAAGATGGGAGGTGCAGCAGGGAGTTGTGGTCGCAGCAGCTGGGCAGTAGCAGGGGGTTGGCCCTGGCTGCAGAGCTCCGGCCCCGGCTGCAGCCTGAGTGCTCTAGCCCTAACTGCAATGCTGGGGCTGCAGTCATGGAGCTCTGGCCCCAGCAGCAGTGGTGCCAGCAGCAGCTAGAGAGCTCCAGGGGCCCAGGCTGGAGCCCTAGCTGGGGGAAGGGATGGTGGTAGTGGTTTGGCATGGGCTGTGAGGGGAGGGACCTCTCCGGTCCAGAAAAGCCCTTTGTTCAGGACTGGTCAGGACCTGAGGGGGCTGGAGCAGGGAGGTCTAACCTATGTACTGTTCTTTGGATGAAAGCAGCACTAGAAATGAATGTTCATTTCAGCAACTGAGCTGGGCTCTGGCTGCTGGGCTCCCTGTGCTCTGCTGCCAATACTACTGCAGCCAGCTGTGCCGGGCCTCAGTGTTCTCATCTGCAAGCTGGGGAGAATTAGCACTAGCTCCGCCAGGGGGCGCTCGAGGGACAACAAGCGCCCTACCCCCACACAGGCCGGGGCGGGCTTGGAGCTGGAATGTTCATTTCAGCAACTGAGCTGGGCTCTGGCTGCTGGGCTCCCTGTGCTCTGCTGCCAATACTACTGCAGCCAGCTGTGCCGGGCCTCAGTGTTCTCATCTGCAAGCTGGGGAGAATTAGCACTAGCTCCGCCAGGGGGCGCTCGAGGGACAACAAGCGCCCTACCCCCACACAGGCCGGGGCGGGCTTGGAGCTGGCGGCGGAAGAGGTGCCCCATGCGGGCCGCTGCGGTAACCGAGCGGCAGGCTGCAGCCGGGACAGGGGGGCGGTTGGACAGGG